TGGGGCTTGTCAACATGGTCGCCCAGGCAGCCACCCGCAGCATCGGGAAGATGCATGTCGCTTGATGGAAGTCTAGCGACACCAGGGTGGACATCAGTTCGGTCCCCACCAACAGTGTGGCGTTGAATTGCTTGGAGAAACTGGCGAGGAAATGGAGGAGTGGGAACCCCTTGCTGCCGCCGCCGAAGTTCTGGACGAATTTGGCGATGGCGGGGACGCTGGAGCGGCATCGCACGTCTCCTTGGTTGGCCTGCTGGATGGCATCTGAAAGGCTCATGCCCTTTTCAAATGCAGTGGCCACATGGAGTGCGACCTCCAACTCGTTTATGGCTTTGGATATTGAGTTGGACGAGTTGGCAGCATGCTGAATGAAGTTGGGAAGTTGTGGGATGGCTTCCTCAATGGAGGCCGCCAGCACGATCCAGCACCATCCTTGCTCGACAGCTCGCCATGCTGGGTCCGACTTGGCAATGGAGCAGTGGTAGCCCTCTGGTCCCTGGATCCCAGCTTGCAGGCACCGGAGGAAGGCCACACTGTGGCTCCCTGCAAGGGAGAGGAATCCTGTCCGGCAGGGAACCAAACATCTATACTTTGTTTATAGGGTTTATAAGGTATGTACCAAAGAAGCTTGAAAATATTAATAAGGATGCATGAGCCAGGTGCCTTCCTGGCCACTCACTGGTGCCAGGTGGCCCTTGGCCTCCGTCACCAATTGGCGGTTGGCTTGCACTTGGGCAAGCCTCTTGGTCTCGGCAGTGGCCATTTGGGTGCAGATGGTCTGGCCGTCCAGGAGCTTCGGCTGGAAGCCCACACTGCACATTTGGCTTCCTTTGGACCATACGTCGAAATACGAGACCATGGACCGTCCTCTATTCTCAGGATGAACCAAGATTTGACTTGGAAGCAAAACTTGGTCATGGGCAAGGCCATGGGTCCTCAGAAGCTGGACGATCTGGTCAACCTTGGAGTTGACTGGGGCTGTCGACCCCATCATGGCCTCCACTTCTTGGACCACCTTCTCTGGAACTCCAGCCATGGCGAGGTGCTTGGAGTGCAGGCCAAACGTGGCAGAGGCAAAACTGGCAGTCTGGGCCCCAACTGATGGCAGAAACTTGAAGTGTGGACAGATCAAGATCATCCCTCCTATAGTATGGCTTACTCGCAGAGGCGCTTTTTTCAATCCCAAGCGGTTGGTCGCAGCTGCAGTGGTCGGAAGCCTAGTGGTTCTGCTTGGCCTTCTTCCTGGGCTGCTTCATGTGCATTTCCAGGTCTTGAGCACTGGCACGAACGTGGTCGATGATGGCGGCGATAGTGTTGGAGTCCAGTGGCACGGCCAAGTCTGCAGCCTTGGGCCGCTTGCCTTCTTGTGGGATCAGGCATGGAACAATGGCGTTCCCGACGTAAATGTTCACAGTCTCTGGGAGGTTCTGGAGTCTGCGCCTCTTGGACCTCCCCTGGCCTTCCTCATCATGGTTTTCGAACAAGTCGGCCATGTCGCCCTGGTCCTCGTCGCCCGCAGCATGGCGATCCATGGCCTCGTTGCGTTTCTCCACCAACTTTTGGAAGGGTTGGTAGAATGTCAACGAAGCCCTGGCTGGGTTCTTGGCTCCGGTTAAGAGCTGGACTATGGGCAAACTGGAGGCCCGCATCTTCAAGTACTTTTGGCCAGCGGAGCCGTCCACAATCAAGTACTGGGGGATGGTGACGAATGGCTCGTTCATGTATTTCACGACGACATGGCTGTCAATGGTCACCATGGCTTCTGCAGAAGCGGGAGATGGTGCAGGCCAAATTGGATGGCTTGGGTTTGGAAACCTCGCGATGGTAATACAGAAATTTCACAACACACATGGTGCATTCCTGTCGAATTGTCAACTTGCCAGCCACATGGCGACCTGCCACTTCCAAGCCAACATGTTTTCGGGCTATCAAAAAAATTGGCTCGGTATATGGTTTTGGCATGGTTACGAAGCTCACGGCCAAACCTGCCCTGACAGTTCAATCAAAATCTCTCGAGGTTCGCAGCAAAAATCTTTACGAAAAAGTGTGTGCATGCAAAAATATATGTATACAGGAAGCTTTTCCTGCTAGCCACAAAAGCATGTCTACTATACCGAGAAATGGATTACAGCTCTATAATAAAACTATGTCAACATATAGAAAACATATAGGTAAAACCTTACTTAAAAAAATAAAAAAAATATAACTAGTTAGCGGACTTGACTTCACTTAGCTAACAAAATAATTTTATTACTAACATCACATAAGACATAACATCTTTTAACCATGCTTATAAAGACTTAACACATACTTAGTATATACTTAACATACACTTATAACCCTTTCGTAACACACTTATACTCCACCCTATCTTGCCTATATCATTATAACACAGCGAGGATTCCAAGT